TTATTAAATTTTGTTGTGTTTCATATAGACTATCTTAAAACAATCTGAATCATCTTTATAGCCCCATTCCCACCAGAACCCTCCCATAGCCCCACTCACTGGAACCCATATACTCTGTCCTGGGTGTTAAGGTCCACCATGTCAAGTCAGTGTCCCCAGATGTTCCCCAGGGCAAGTCCACCCACTTGCAGTCTAGTTAGATCCCTCTCATGTATTTATCCAAACACCTATCTTTTTTTTTTTAACAGAGCATAGGGTGAGGGTTTATTTACAGAGGAATGGGCACCCCCCCACTGGAAAGCCCACACTCAAATATAGTCCCTGTGACTTCCTGACAGCTACAGAAAATGGTGAGAGAGGTGCCTCCTGGCATTCTTGGCTTATATATCCTTAGCCCCTCCCCCCACATGCAGCTAAGGTCAACTGATTGGGTGGGAGGGTAACTGACTCCCCCCCTTAACTCCTTGATGTCATAGGAAGGAGGTGTGACTATAGGTCAGAGTACCCTTCCAGTTAACACTTCACCCCTTCCTCTGGCTCTTACATTCTTTCTGTTAACCTCTTCCACAGAAGTCCCCGAGCCTTGGAGGAGGTGGTAGGTATGGGATGATCTTCCTCCTATTGTGGCAAGGCACTGAACTTTTGGGTCTCTGCATCGTCAGTTTCCCATGGGCTGTTGGCCCATTTCAATGGGATTCCATCTACTATAAAAACACAAACAACAAGAAGCAAGAACATTTAACCAGTGGCTGCTATAATAACTTAACCTATGGGTGTGAACACAAATGCTTGGACAGTACTTTAGCAGGTGCATCACATCCATCCAACAAAACAATTGCAGTGGCTTCCCACTGGGGCCTATACTCTCCCCTGCCACAGGGGGTTGGCCGGGCGTGGCCCTAATTCCCTCTGGGTCTCCTGCACTATCAAGCAAACCATATAACATATCTTTATGTGAGTTTATTATGGTTTATGTCCTCAGGTAGGGAGAGGGTAAATTGGGAAACTTACACAGAGACAAGCACTCTTGCACCGCAGCTCATAGCCTGCCACCAGTGCTCCTGTGGCCCGGCCCATAGTCTCCATTAACTTTTTCTGACACATCTTGGGCCTGCAGTCTCATCCCAGGTTGGTAAATGCCCCCTCTTGCGTCCATGTGGGTGAGGCACTGGGGCCATCCCTATCTCCACACCCACCACCACATGCATTCCTCCTGGCTCACAGCTTCAGTCCCAAGATGGCTCTCAGCCATGCCTCAGTAGTCCATGCCCCGTGGCAGGCCCTGCCCCTTGGAGGAACTAGCCAATTGGGAGATACCAGGTCTATAGTACCAGATGTGTGTTCCACCCTTAGGAGCAGGCATTATATCAATCAAAAATTTGCTGGTTGTACATACACTAGACACTCCACTATTGCACCAGCAGCAACATCTTGTTTGATATGTTGATAGTGCAACATAAGGGGTCTGTTGTTGAGCAGAATTATAGGGGACGATTTTCCCCCAGTCATCTGCATTTCACCTTTTGGCACCATGAAAGCCACCCATCCAGTGTCAGGAAGTCTAGCTTAGTCCAAGCTTGATTTCTCCCTCTCCTGTGTTCGCATCAAGCAGTGTCTTCAGCAGTAGGGTCTGACACGTATCCTTTTTTAATACCAACACCATTGATGTTACTCACTCTTCCATTCAAAACCCTCCTATTTCCTACCACCTGAAAATCCAAATCTTAGGAAGGGCCTACAAGGTAACACAGTTTCTGGTCCCACAATACCTCTTTGACCTTGGATCCTGCCAGTTTCCATTCCCTTTGATATGGTCCATCACATCCATTTTCTTTGTTATTCTGCAAATAGATCAAGCAGATTCTCATCCCACTGGGCTGAATTGGTTGTTCCCTCTGCCTGGACACATGCCACCCAGATTTCATGGCTTACCTTGTCTATTCAGTTCTTTGCTCCAAATCCAGCATATCAGAAGAATTTTCTCATTCTACTCGCCCTGCCATTTTATGTCTGGCATCTATTAGGGCCTTGATACATAGGCTAGTGACAGTGAGTGGCTGAACTGAGCCCAAACTTCAGTGCATTAAGGTAATTTTCTGACCATATTTTGCTTTGTTGTGCTGAGGTTCTTCCTCACTGCCTTGACTGAATGTCTTGGTCCATTTGTGCTGCTATAACAAAATACCTGGGACTGAATAGTTAGAAACAACAGAAATTTAGATTCTATAGTTCTGTAAGCTGGGAAGTCCAAGATCAAGTCCCTAGTATCTGGTATCTTGTAAGGTTTTTTTCAGGGAAGAAAGTAGAAGGGGGAGAATGTAAACAAACTCCCTCATCAGGCTGTTACTAGGACACCTGATCCTATCCATTAATGAGGAAGGAGTCCTTATGACCTCTTAAAGACATGACATCTTAATACCATCATCTTGGCAACACCTAAACTCCAGAGGGTCCACATAGCTTCACCATGGTGGGACAGTGTCCCCAGTTCACAAAGCCAGAGTACAAATACACACTGCTATAGTTGGCTGCAAATCTTGACAGTCTGATGTGTGACCCACAGCTACCTTCTCCCAACAGTTGCTGCACTGAATTAGAAGATTATAAAACAATTGCTTAGCAAAACTTCTCTCTCTGAATTCTTTGACTTTTGGTGTGGTTTGCACAAATGACTTTTCTCTCTATCTCATGTCATCTGCTTCTCTTTAAAATATATTTTATTAATTTTTAAAATTTTGTGCGTATGAATGTATTGCCTGTATGTAGGTAGGTGCACTCGTGCCATTCAGTGCCCACAGAGCTTACAAGAGGGTGTCAGATCCCTTGGAACTGGAGTTTTGGGATGGTTGTTAGCCACCATGTGAGTGCTGGGAATTGAACCTGCATCCTCTGGAAGAGCAGCCAGTGCTCTTAACCACTGAACCATCTCTCCAGTCCCCATCATCTGCTTCTTTTTGAGGACACCTCTACCGATATGTCTGCAGGTGATGATCTTTTCCTGGCATGCGTATACATTTCTCTTTTTGTAACTTGCTATAATCATTCTAGTTGTAATTGTGGAGCAAAGACAGGAAAATGCAGGATTCCAGTTGCCATCTTTGTTAAATTTTTAATTTGTGTGTATTCCTGCATATGCAGATAGACTTTACATAATTAAATGAGGGACCTATCAGTGCTTTTAAAATAAAATTTAAGTATAACTTTATTAAAGCATGAAATACAGAAATCACACAAATCTTATTTATTTTCTCAAAGTGAATACATCCCTTTAGTCAGCACCTACCTTAAAAAATGCCTTTATCAGCATCCCAGAAGCCCCTCTTTTGCTTCCTCCTACTTGCTCCCTGAACGAATTATTACTATACAGAATTCTGATACTGTGGTTTATTTTCAGTGTGTGTTCATCGTGTGTGCACATTTTCTTTTGCTTAGCATTGCACCTGTGATGCATTCACGTTGTGTATAAAAACAGTTGTCCCTTTGTCATTTCACCAAAAGAAATGTGCAATGTTGTCCTCCTCAACAAAATGCTCAGAGAAGCGCCTAAGTCATTAGCCACCAACTGGAAACATTCTAAATGTATACCAACAGTCCAGTAAACTAAAAGACAATTAGGCATTCATAGTCTTCATAGTGAACATGTTTTAAAATGTTCTTTCCCTCACTTCTGTTTTGCCCCTAGCTCATCTTACCTTTATTCCTGTTCTGGTCACCTCACCTTTCACCTGTGCTCACAGTAACTTATGCTAACAGCTTAAAACATTTTCTCATTTCATCTTTACATAATCATGAACATGCATATATATGTACGAGTATACACATCTGTGAAGGAGTTGGAAGTGAATGGAATTATGCTGTTTTCCACATCTTGTCATACTATCATATTACAAACAATATTCTTATACTTTTTAGATAATGTATTATATAACGAAAATATTTAAATTTATGAAAAGTTTGTTAATTTTATTAATGCTATGGTTCATATCATCTGTAATAAAAGAGAAAGTGATTAATTGATTTTAATGAATATTTATTACTATACCAAGTAAACCCCAATAATTCTTCTTTAATAGTCACACTAATATACAAAAATCACACAGATCTTAGTCATCTAATTTCTTTCTAAAAGTGAATGTAACTCTTTAGCTAGTATCTAGATCAAAACTTCTGTCTTTATCCAGATTCCAGGAATCCCTCTTTTGGAACTTAGAGACTTGTGTTCAGTTTTGGGCACCACAGTTTGATAAGAAAAATAAACTACAGTCTGTTTATAAGAAAGAAACAGTTTAGGGGGAGGCATGGATGGTGGAAGGGGTCTGTATTTGAGTGGGAAATGTATGAAATTTTAAAAGCTCAATAAAAAAAGAAAAGAAGAATAATGAAGAAAAATTTTAAAAAGAAAGAAACAGGAATACCTACTGATGGAACTGAAAATCTTCAACGGGGAGCAAAGTAAGGGGGAGGTGAAAGATGACTGTTCTCTTTGCGTGTTCGGAGGGCTTATTGAATAGAAGAAAAACTGTACTTGATTCATTTGAACCAAGGTGACAACATGGGAGGAGTTTTGGCAAGGCAGAATTAGATTCAGAATACTAAAAATGTTCTTTAAATAGAAATCTTGGGGCTGGAGAGATGGCTCGGTGGTTAGGAGCACTGGCTACTCTTGCAGAGGACCCAGGTTCAATTCCCAGCACCCACTGGGTGGTTAATAAGGGTTCATGACTCCAGTTCCAGGGACTCTGACGCCCTCTTCTGTCCTCCATGGGCACTGCATGACATGAGTGCACTTACATGCAGGCAAAACACTCATACACATTTAATAAAAATAAAAACTAAATAAAAATTAAATAGAAAATTTTAGAGATGGAAAGAGGTCTATATAGATGCCTGAAAAAATGCTAGGTGAAGATTTTAACCCATAGTTGGTAGGTTTGGATTCACTTTCCACTTGGAGTGACATGACTCTAATACTTTTTTTAATTTTTAATTTTCTTTAATAGATATGTTAGTATGACCATTGTTTTTAATGGGAGATGATTGAAAGTGAAAATCTAAACCAAAGTGAAATCATTAAAGAGCTGGTGAGTCCAATCCAATTTCTTTTCAATAGCATTTGAAAGACCACTAAGTAGAACTTTTTTACACTCCTTCTGGAGCTGTAAGGATTAACTGGAAGGGTATTTCTTCTGCCCTGGAACTTTTGGAAATATAGAAAAGTCATATATGTAGCCCAGCTTTCTCTTTTGTGGGAGTACAAAAATGGCATCAGTGGAATGGATACTTTGTAATGTAAAAAATAATTTTAATATTTAAAATAGGTAGTAATTCAAATTCTTTCTTTTCAAACAGTGTTTGTGCAATGGTTTATCTTATGAGATGGTTGGACAAGAAGGATCAGATACTTCAAAACTGGAGATGTTTTTCTCAGGATACCCCTGTATAGTAGGATTATCGTTATTTCCTAATTTAACAAGTCTTACAATCGTTGCTCAAGATATAAAGGAAATTTCAGGGCTGGAGACTTGTTTACAGCTTAAAGAACTCTGGATTGCTGAGTGCTACATAGAGGTTAGTTAAACATATAATCTCACAGGAGCCCTGGATCCTGAATTTTTGACTTTGGAAAAGAAATTCATTAAAATATGTGTAGGAAGCAGGGATCAAAACTGATGAATAGTCAAAGATAGGAATTGATTGGTACGAAGGAAAAATAGAAATAAGGAATCAAGGACTAGAGAGTTGGCTCACTGGTTAAGAACAGTGGCTGTTCTTGCAGGATACTCAGGCTTAATTCCCAGCACGCACATGATGGCTAACAACCATCCATGACTCCAGTTCCAGGGGAATCCAGTGCACTTCCGTGGGCATTGCATGACACAAGTGCATTTACATACATGCAGGCAATACACTCATACACATAAAATAAAAATAAAATATTTTTTAAAAAAGAAATAAGGACTCAAAACATACACATATTCTACTTTTTGGTAATCATAGCAAATCATATCAAATAGCCAATATTACTAGCAAAACTGACTCACTTAAGCACTATGGGTTAACATGCATTTTAGAAAGCAATATCGCAAAATATATCAAGAATGATAGACGAGTACATACCTTTTAACTCAGAAATTCATTTTTTAAGATTTTATACTAGGAAAGTAATTCAACAGCAAAATCAACTATGTACATGAAGCTTTTAAAATCATCAAATGCAAATACCCTGAATATAGGGCAAATTTTTAAGACCATTATTGTAAACTTCATAAAATATTTCATAATTATTAAAGATTATAATATGAAAGATTATGAAAATATGTTAGCTGGTCTTTAGTGAAAGAATCCTGTAAAATCAGATATATATAATGATTATAATCATATAAAAAAGATAGAGCTTACTAAACTTTAAAGAAATATAAAAAAATTAAGTACTGTTACATTTAGGTGCCAATTTTTTTTTCTTTTAAAAATTTTAGCTACTCTTTCTGGATACTGGTTTTGCAATAATGAGGTCTATTTTATTAGGAGGATTAATGACAAAGCATAAGTAACATTCTTCAATCTCCTTTTCAACAGAAAATTGAAGGCCTTCAAGAATGTAGAAGTTTGGAAAAATTATATTTATATTACAATAAGATTTCAAAAATAGAAAATTTAGAGAAATTAATAAGATTGGAAGTTGTTTGGCTGAACCACAACATAATAAAACATATTGAGGTGAGATCATTTGGATAGTTTGCATGTGAAGCCAATTAGTACTGTGCAGTTTAAACCACAGCATTTAAGATCATGTCACGGTAGAGGCCAGATATTTGTGAATGGTGAAGTTAGTGTCAAGGACCACTGATGTGGATACTGTATGTTACAAAGTACAGGAGGCTTTGTATACAGCATTGCCTTCATAGGCATCACAACAAGCCTGAGAGGTAAGATGGTATTTGTTTTAGAAGGTTTTCAAAGTAGAGGTTTGGAGGCGTGCTTGACTTGCCTAGGAATATAAACACTGTGCAATACCCTGCTCTTCCACTCCCTCTATCTTTCTTCCTCTCTACTTTTCTTTCTGTCTTTTTCCAGTAATTCTTTCCAGGCTCTAATGTGGGGCTGGGGACAGAGATGGCTTCACTGAACCCACTTTCCTCTATGCTTTTGAAGCACACAGCACACCCGGGGAAATACCAGCCAGATAAGACGTTATTGGTTCTTATGATTTTTAAATTATGTGTTGTCTACATTTTTAGGGCTTGCAGACTTTGAAGAATTTAAGTGACCTCAACCTTGCAGGGAATCTAATAAGCAACATTGGTATGTACTGTTTCACTCGGAGTCTGAAATAATGCATGAAGTACCTAGATTTGTTCCTTTTATTTGGACTTTTTAAAAATGACATCATTGCAAGCCATTTTAAAATATCTTCTTTATTATTATTACTATTTATTTTATGTGTAGGAGTGTATTGCCTGCATGTGTGTTAGTGCACTCGTGTCATGCAATGCCCCCGGAGGTCAGGAGAGGGCATTGGATCTCTGGAACTGAAGTTTTGGACAGTTGTAAGCTGCCATGTGGCATGTGGGTGCTGGGAATTGAACCCGGGTCCTCTGCAGGAGCAACCAGTGCTCTTAACCGCTGAGCCATCTCTCCAGCCTGAGCAAGGCATTTTTAAATCTATGATTCAAATGTGAAACTTTCAGCCACTAGCAGTGATAATTAATGATCCAGTAGTATAATTAATGTTATTGATATGCAGGAAATGATGATTTTACAGAACTCACAAGTATGCCAGGATACAAAAATAAGGTAGAAAAAGAAATTTGTTTTTGTGATGTTGAAGATGGAACCCAGGACCTTGGATATGCCGGGCAAACACTGCCACTGAGCTGCATCTTCATCCCTAATGTTTTTAACCTTGTTTTTAACTTGAAGGTCGGTGTCTTGACCCCAATGAATGCCTAGAAAAACTAAACCTTTCTGATAACCAAATTACTTCGTTTAAGGTATGTTTAAATGAAATGATGTTTTTTCTATTTATCGGCCTGGGTTATGAACCATAACATTACAGAAAATGCACTAAACAATTCCCATTTAAGGGTTAATTTTATTGATTCCATTATTTGGGGCTCCTTGATGCTTCAGAGAATTTAAATTAGCCTTAATGTTAAATTAGTCTTAATGATTCAGCACTATTAAAACAAGTAACTATTGACTTGGCTCTTAGGATGTTATTTTTCTCTTACTTTCTCCCAGTCTTGGCTACATCTCTTCAGTTTGGGGATTTGTCCTCTACTAGCATCTAAAGAGTGGACTGCCCCTCAGTGCTGGGCTCCTGCCTCACTTCTATCTATATTCATTCCCTAAGCAGTCCCATCATGTCTTATGACTGAAAACACCTTTAATCTACTGATTACCCCCAAATTAGTCCCTTTACTTCCCCTGACTACTCTTCGGAACTATAGGTATCTCTTACCCTACCTCAAACTAATGTCCCATCCCCTAACCCCTTCTTCCTGTAGCCTTCCATGCCTCTCCAAATGACATTTCCATTCTTCCAGCTTGTTAAGCCAAAAGCCTTATAGCCACTTTTGACTCCAAATATTCCTTCATATTCTACCTCAATCCATGAGCAAATCCTACTGGCTCCCCATTCAGAATGTGCCCAGAGTCTGGCCGTTTCTTAACTTCTGTATCACTGTCAACCTAGGTCAGGACACCACCATCACCAGCCTGCTTTATCAGAGGAGAACATAAACCCCAACCTCTTCACAACCCTCTGGCTTTATTTTAATTACTTAGAGTGTGCATACATGCCCTGGTATGCATGTGGAGGTAGAAGTCAACTTTCAAGGGCCGTTTTTGTCCTTCTACCTTGTGGATGCTGGGGCTCAAACTCAGGTTGCCAGGCTTGGTGGCAGGCTCCCTTAACTACTGAGCCATCTCACCAGCCCTGTTGTTTTTTCTGTATTCTCAATCTATTCTCCTTACAGCAAAGCTTGATGGAGCCTTTAAAAATATGCCATAACAGGAGGCTGGAGAGATGGTTCAGTGGTTAAGAACACTGGTGGTTCTTGCAGAAGACCCAGGTGCACTTACCTACAAGCTTGCACGATAAGGGTGCACTTACCTACATGCAGCAATACATGCATACACGTATAATAAAAATTGGTTTAAAAGAGCTGACTCTATATATATATATATATATATATATATGTGCCGTAACAAATCACTGCTCTCCTCAGAACCTTCCCTTGGTGTCTCATTTTGTTCATAATAAAAGGCAATACTTCCAATGACCCCTCAGTTGAAACATAATCTAGTCCCACCACCAGCCACTCTTTCTCTGACCATAGCTTCTGCTGTCCTCCCATTTGCTAATTCTTTGCCTAATTCTATCTATTGCTATCACTGTTTCCTGACTGTACTTGGCACAGCCTCACCTATGGCCTCTGCACTTGCTGCAGTGTTCTCACACGCCTTCCCTCTCACTTTAGAGGACATGGCAGTGGCCCCCGTGGCCTCCACTTGCAAGAGCTTGCTGCTAGCTTGCTGCTTCTGCTGTTTTTCATTTCCTGTTGGCATAGCTTGTGCTAGATCACAAGCTAACTGGATACAGGATCTGTACCTGTTCTGCTGGCTACTCATCCACAATGCTTAGTGCTGGACAGATAGTAAACACCAGTAAACACTTGCTAAGAAGATGGGTGGGTGGGGGGCTGGGGAGATGGCTCAGGGGTTAAGAACACTGACTGTTCCTACAGAAGACCCGAGTTCAAATTCCAACACCCACATGGCAGCTAACAACTGTCCGTAACTCCAGTTCCAAGGGATCTGACAGCCTCTTCTGTCCCCTGAGGGCATTGCATGACACAGGTGCACTTACCTACATGCAGGCAATACACGCATACACATAAAATAAAAATAATAAATAAAAAAGATGAAGGGAAATAATCAAAAGGATTTAATGATTATTATGTATAATGCTGCTTAAAATATGTCATTTATCACTTAGACAATGTGAGGGTGAAGACACTTATTCAACCACATCATATGAAAATATTGAAGAAAGGTGAGTAGGGAATAGTTTTGAGTTGATCAGTATAAATAGATCTTTTTTTTTAACCTAGAGAAAACTATAAGAGAGCATCACAAAGCAGTAGGACAGGCTAAGTAAGTACTTTAAAAGAAATTGGAGTAAAATTTTATCTGATTAGTCAAATGACAAAGGAAATCCTTGATATGAAAGGCTGGCCAGCATCATGTTAACACGCACTGTAGGAGGCTCCTCTGGGCAGGGGCGGTGGCCATACTAAGAGTGAGGCACGGAGGTAGTCAGAGTCTATTTGAGTAATGTCAGCAGCATCATTCAACTTGCATACAGAGTACATGTGAGAGTTAGCTCTTACATATGAACTGTATTCTGTAGACAACACAGAGTTGTCACACTTGGTTTTTTTTTTTACAGAAAAATTCATTTTTAATACAATTGACACTAAGATGCACATGTGTTTCTAATCTCTATATATCTGATTATTTCTAGTCACGGTTACTTTCTGAATCATCAGGTAGATTTCAATGGTAATGTTTTTCACATCTACTAATTATTAAGGAGCAAATTTTTATGCTTTGAAGAATTATTATTATTATTTTAACAAGGAGCTATTATAATATGACCAGAGATGACCTGTGGGAATAGTAAACTAGAATTTGTGTTGATTGGTTTGGAGCACTTAGGATACATAGAAAATGCATAACTGTCTAGGGCCTGCCATTTAATAATTATTTATCTTTTCTTCAGGAACTTAACATGTTTTTTACTGGACAGAACCATTTTAGCCACATAAATCTCTAATGTACTTAAATCTGTAAGCAGAATGTATTGCACTGGATTGTAGGTGATCTTAAACACATCCTTTCAAAATGAGCATTCATAATCAATTATTGAACATTGTCATTTCTGTTTTAGGACCTTACTAACTTGACCAGGCTGCCTCAACTAAAGGATTTATGTCTGAATGATCCACAGTATAAAACAAATCCAGTTTGCCAGCTGTGTAATTACTCCACACATGTGCTGTATCACCTGCCTTCTCTTCGTAGACTTGACACATTGGATGTATCAGCAAAGCAAATCAAGGAGCTAGCAGATGTAAGTGCGCTGGGATAGGTATCTGTGACTGGTTTGACTGTTAACTGCTGCTTTCTGACTGGGTCCACAAATGGTAGGTAGGTCATCACTTCTTGACTCCAATTCTGATTTTACCCGGCAAGCAGGATGTTTCATGTAACACTATACAAATAATAACATTCATGGTAGAATTTGATATTAACACTGAAAGTGGGAAACAGGTATGGGAAATAAGTATAAGTAAGTTGCTTATTTGGAATTTAACATAGCATCTTATATGTCATCTATAGCAAAATAAACTATTCCATGAATGCATTCTTGTTTCAGATCTAAAAACTCATTGGAAATTCTTTTTAGCTATCAGAGACACATATTTTTGTATTGGATTTTTCCATTTTTTTCTAACTACACAAAATAACCAGAAACATCTGTCAATTTTCTCTTTTTCTTTTCTTTCTTTCTTAACATATGCTTTAGTGTGTGTGCATGTATGTGTGTGTGGTGCATAGTTTTGTGGGCACTTGTATGTGTTCGTATGGAGGCCAGAGGCAGACTTGAGATAACGCCCTCTATTGAGCTCTACCTTTTTTTGTTACTTTTCTTTAAAAAGTTTTTTTTAGGATTTCATACATGAGTACTGTATTTACAACATTTCCACCTCTTCCTCTTCTCCTCCAACTCTTCCTACATACCCCCACCCCCTCTAAATTTCTTGACTTCTTTGATTATTACTGTTACATAAGCATATATGTCTATATTACATACATATTGTTAAATATACTTAACATATATAAATATATATTACAGTCATTCTTTCATATTATTGTTACATACACATACACACATATATATGAATAATCTGCCAAGTCCATTAGTGGTGCTTGTTGTACATGTGTTTAGGGCTGGCCACTTGGGAGGGCTTAGATGACCTATCAGGGAGCTCTCCCCTGGAGGAAACTGATTCTTCATCAGCAGCCATTGAGTGCCTGTACCTCTTTATCTAGAGGTCAGATCTCTTCACCTTATTTTTATGATAGAATCTCTTACTGAACCTGGGACTCACCGTTTGGCTAGACTGGGTGACGCAGTGAGCCCCAGGGATTTAATTGTCTCAGTGCCCCAATGCTGGGGCCTACCTTTTCCATTTATGCTGAGGCCCCTAACTCAGGTCCTCATGCTTGTGTAGCAAGAACTCTATCCACTGAGCCATTTCTCCAGCCCCTCCAATTCTTAAATTAAAGTTCAGATTTTTTTATATATATAAATTTGTTCATATCAGCTGCCAGTTATTTCCTCCACTAAGTGAGACTTCATCAGTCCCTCTGTTCCCATGCTGGGATTTTTGGCTGGCTTGATCTTGTGCAGGTCTTGTGAATGCATTCACAGCTGCTATGAGTTCATGTGTGCAATGGCATTGTCATGTCTGGAAAATACCATTTCATTGCAGACATCCACTGCCTACTCTTCTGTGATGATGACTGAACCTTGCAGGGAGAAGTATGATACAGTTGTCCTATTTGCAGTTGAATCATTCTAAGTGAGGTTCATCTTGTTTTTAGGCAGGCTTCAAATAAGAGAATTATACTCAATTTTACATTTTCTTTTAAATTCTTTTTAATTTCTTTATTTTCCCTGAGTTAAGTTGAAATAATGGAAATATTTATAGTATTGTCTCATTAGCTAAATATTTTATAAATTAAATTCTCTCTGCGATATCTTCATTTTTTGTCCTGGAAATAAATGTGAACATGCCACGTACCTGCACACTAAACACAGGGAGGCTCTTTGAAATGATATATCTTGCTGTACTACATTTAAGTGCCAAATCTGGGAGCACCATCACTCTGGCTGCCATCATCTGTAGCCAAGCTAACACAGCTTCCAAATGTATGTGGAACTTGTTATCCTAAATAACATTAACAATTACTTGTAGTTTGTTTTACTTACTCTTTTGTTTTCTATTCTTGTTTTTAGACCACAGTGATGAAAAAAATAATGTATTACAACATGCGCATAAAAACAGTTCAGAGGCATCTTAGTGAAGAACTTGAAAAGCTCAGTGACAGAAAATGCAAGTTACAAAAGTTACCAGAAGACCGAATAAAATTATTCAACTTTGCCAAAAAAAATGTAAGATTTAATAATGTAAAATGTCAGTGGCTATATTGTAGGGAAATCATCAAAGAAGACAGCAAAATCTGTGTGTGTATGATTGATACTGATTTGCAAGTCATTTACCCTAAAATATTTTGATTCCAGGCATTCTGTGTATAAAAATCTGCAAATCAAAAAAGATATAGGAGCTGGAGAGGCTTAGTGAGCAAGAACGCTTACTGTGCTAGGCTTCATAGCATGCTTCTAGAATCCCACTGCTCCTCAGGCGAGAATGGGAGGCAAAGCAGAATTTCTGGACGATTGCAGGCCAGCCAGCGTGGCCTATGCAGCATGAACGAGGTGGAAGGTGAGGACTGACACATGAGGTGGTCCTCTGACCTCCACACTTGCAGCTTGGCACACATATGCCTGTATTCACTTAGAGATGTGAGGTGTATACACACACACACACACACACACACACACACACACACACACCCCCCAAACCAATATACATGTGAGTGTGTGTGTGTGTAGTTGGGAAATTTTTCAAAAGCTGTGTGATTCACTATGATTCAGAATGTTAGAAATGTTGTTGTATTTTTATTGGACACCTGTAGGCTGTGCTCAAAATTCATCTTCTTATTTTAAGTGCTGAAATACAGCTTTATTAGTACTATTAAAGCATACATCAAGGGAAAACCTTTAAATCAAGATTTTAGTAGTGTATGTGCTTTTAATTTCTAATAAATTAGATTTATTTTATTAAAATTGGACCCTGAAAAGTTAAGGGGCATTTACTTGAAAACAGAACCTTGTCTATATAAAACTTTCTGTAACTTAAAGCACGAAGAAATAATGTATTATTCAACAACTGGTGTTAAAAAATGTCAAATTATTTGGAGTAGGGGAGTTGTGTCCTTAGTTTACACTTTACCCAAAGTAAATACCAATGGGGTAAAGAATTACATGAAAACATGAAAAAAATCAAGTCTAAATAAGTAGATGAATTTATTTTATTGTTCTTAACCTGTCAAATAAAATAAATCCTAGAAATCACAAAGCAAATTGAACTGATGAACATCACAAAAGGATGATTTTGTACTGAAAAGAATTAACAAGGGTAAAGACCCCGAGCTGAGGAGATGGCCTGGTATGGTCAATGAAGTGCTCGCTACGTAAGCATAAGGACCCAAGTTACATCCTGAGCACCCACAAAATGCTAGGTGTAGTGGCATGTGTTTTTAATCCCAGAGTTGCGGGAGCAGAGATAGGTGAATCCCTGGTGCTCACTAGTCAGCCAGCCTGGACGAGTTGAGAAACTCCAGGTCAGTGGGATATCTTGTCCTCAAAAAATAAGGTGGGGGCCAGATTGAGCTCTATGAGATCGAGGTCAGCTGGGCCTACATAGCAAGTTCCAGGTCAGCTGGGGCTACAGGGAGATCCTGTCCCCACCAAACAAAACAAAACCAATCGACCGAACAACAACAACAAAAAACCAACCAAGGTAGATGGTAACTGAGGAATAGCGCCTATGGTTTCCCTCTGGCCTCTACATGCATGTGCACATGTGTTTGCACATGCACTTCCCCAACACAAAAGTGAAGAACAAATGTCTGAAAAACTATCTTCAAGCAACATGACACAAAGAAATGTTATCTTTAGTATGAAAGTATCTATGAAACAAGATTTTAAAGTAGATGCACAGGAAAGTGGAGGAAAATATATAAACTAGCACTTTAGAGAAGAATATATTTATTATTTTTTTAAATTTTATGTGTATGAGTGTATTGCCTGCATGTAGGTAAGTGCACCCGTGTTGTGCAACTCCCGTGGAGGACAGAAGAGGCTGTTGGATACCCTGGAACTGGAGTTACGGACAGTTGTTAGCTACCATGTGGGTGCTGGGATTCGAACCTGGGTCTTCTGCAAGAACATCCAGTGTTCTTAACCACTGAGCTATCTCTACAGCCCCTACAGGAGAATATATTAAAGAGACTAATGAACGTGCCTGAAAGAAGTGCTCATTTATTAATTTGCAAGTGTTAGCTAATGTATCATGAAACCATTTTCACCTATAAAACTATCAAAGCACAGCATACAGTAGTTTTAGTCTGCTGAAGATGAGTGTAGGACTCTACGCATCACTGATAGAAATGCAACTGTGGTCACACCACTTCTCAGTGCTCCTAGTGCACCCCCAGCTCCTTCAGTCTGTTTTCATACTTATTCTGTGGTTATTCATCACTACTCTATTGGTAATAATAAAAACTAGAAGCTACACAAATATTTAACTAGAGGAAAAGTTTCTATTTTTTTTTTCGGTCTTTTTGAGACAGGGTCTCCCTGTAGCCCCTGCTGGCCTGGAAAGTTCATCATTTTTAAGGTGGAATACTGTGTCATCATTAAAAACATTGAGGGGCTGGAGAGATAGCTCAGCAGTTAAGAGCACTGCAGAGAACCTGCGTTTGGTTTCCAGCACCTACATCAGGCAGCTTAAAACCACCTGTAACACCAGCTCCAGAGCAGCTAATGATGCCTTCTTCTGGTCCTCACAGGCACCTGCACTCACAAGCACAGGCCAGCTAGAGCTACAGGGAGACCCTGTCTCAAAAACAAAAAACAAAACAAAAAAATAATTAATTAAATAAATAAAAAGTAAAGTCTTAAAAAAAACACACACCAAAAAAGCCCCTAAGGTTTAAATCAATTTAATGCCTTTACTAGAAGTGGGCAAGTTTTCATTATGAAAATTAAAAAGATGTTCTTAAAACATTAATAAAATTTAAATTATTTGAATAAAAACCACAGGACCAAGATGTCATTTTATAATCTGCCATTTTTGCATATAAATGAATAGATGGCTTGAGTAACCCTTATCTAGAATGCTTATGACGATTTGGGAATCTTTCACATATTTTGGAATATTTATATGGACTTTACCAGCTAAGTATCCTTTGTTGACATATCAAAAATTTGTCAAAATTTCAAATTTTGGAGCTTTTCGAATTACTGATGTTCAGATTAAGGATGCTCAATCTGTGTTAAGTAAAATCTGCAAGAGTGAGAAAGAATAGTTATATGTTATATAAATTGTAGACACTTAAAAATATGTAATTTGTTTTTAACAGCTAGATATAACGATGTTAATGAAGAAATATAATTAGTATTTTTCTTTTGAAAAATTTTATTATTTTTATGTGTATGAGTGTACTGCCTGCATGTGTATAAGTACACCCTTGTCGAACTGAAGTTATTGATGGTTGTTAGCCACACTGTGGGTGCTTGGAATCGAACCTGGGTCCTCTGCAAGAGCAGTCGGTGCTCTTAACCATTGATCCATCTCTCCAGCCCCATAATTTTCTTTTAATATACTTTGTACATTGCAGTGTCTTGAAATCCTACCATAGTGCAACAAATGAGACTTTTCGCCTTGGGCACAGAATTTAAGGTAGTACCCAAAGCCTTCATAATCAAGATAAATAATATATAGTAATATTTCAAGTATCCAAATTAATGCCACAAAGCCCATTACAGAAAACAAACCCCAAAATATTAAAATCCAGTTTTGAGACATTAGAAGACTGAAAAGCAAAACTATATCTCTTTTTGTGTATATTCTATGATTAACAATTTCCTAGGATGCTATAATGGAAAAAACATTGAAAAACTGAAAAATTAATATCTTAAAAATTGCATTTTTGAAGTTTAAGTTTTTATTCACACCCAAACCAGCATTTCTTATAATTTACTTTAATAAACAAACTCAACAATATTTCCTGACCTATTTCTTTGTCTTATTTTCAATTAAGAGACTACCAGTCAATTTTCATAAAAATTGAACTTAACCTATTTGACATATTTTTGAAAGCTTGGCTAGTTATATAACTACATTTCTACTTTAATCATTTAAATTGACTAATAAATCTCACTAAAAAATGAGTATCTGAATTAAGACTTCGCCTTTACCACATTCTGTTTTTATTTTGGCTCTCTGGTACATTGTTTTCAACAGTTGGAACAGGAATTAGCGGAACTCAAGGCATCTGGCAAAGGGAAAAATGATAAAGTCGATAATGATAAAGTAATTGAGGTTGAAAAACCAAGGAATAGTGAAACTGTCGTGGAAGAATCGGGTCTGCAGCAGAAGATATTGACCAAACTAAATGCCTTAGATGAAAGGATAGCATTCTGGAACAAGAAACTAGATGAGTAAGTTCAATGAACTGTTGGGTCGGTGAGATTTAAAGCACAAAGGAACAGGCATATTGGGGGTTTTGGCTGAGCTCAGTTTTCTAGAGGAATGGAAAGGATTATAGAGCATGAAGCAAATCCAGTTCTTAAGATGTACAGGCATCACTGGTTCAAAGCTGGGCTTTAGCTGAAAGCCGTTCTTAACTAAGCCCAGTGAGCCTCTCTGAGCAGCTTGATGTCACATCTCCATTTTTCTTGCAAACTGAAAGAGAGTGCTACCAGCACAGAAACTCACCAGAAGGGGAGACCCAGCCAAGCACATCTGTGGTACAGTCCTCAGTTCACAGTGCTCTTCCATTTACTAAGACGTTAAGTACATAAGGCAGTTGGCCCTACAGTCATATCAACAATAGTAACATTTGGAGGCAAAAAAGGGGGGGGGGGGGGGGGGGGGGGGGTCGCTCCATACCATGTAACCCTCAAACAGCCATTGAAGACACAAGTGTTATTAGTACTGCCATTTTTGCTGACAGGGTTGTGGTATAAGAAGGCAAAATGACTTGCCTATGATTTACAGCCATGTTGGATCCTAGAAAGTCTTCTCACCTTCTCATACTTTGAGTGAGGTTAGCAAAGTTTGCAATGAACTGCCAGGATAGAATACTTTGTGTCTGGCTTAATTGTTATCACTAAACTTTCTTATCATTTAAAAAAACACTGATGTTAAACTAAATTAACAAACCGCTGAATTTGAATTTTAATGTTTCATATCTTATGGATATGTGTGTGTGTATATATATATATACATATGTTTTGGTAGAATTGAAGCAGTTTATCGTTCTGAAGTAAAACAAAAGAAGAAAAGCTACAGCTTACTGACCCCATTTTTGTTAACTGAGTTGGAAACTGTGGGAAATATCCATTTTGAAGAGGGCACTCAATGTGATGACTGGTAAGTTTGGAACTTTATAGCTTTAAAAAGTTATAAGTACTTGGATTATGAACCAGATTATCAACATATAGCTTTAAAATATCTAATTTTCAAAGCATTTCTCATCAAAATATTCATCTGTTGAAAACTGGCAGTTACCTATTTCCTGACTAGATGTTTATTTTTACTAATTATCTTGGGCCAACCCTGAGGACATATCAACAGTGTTACTCAATTTCCTTAACCAGAGAGCAGAGTGTAATTTAGTAAAAATGTTTATGCTCAAGTATTGCTTTCATGCATATTTATATTGTTGCTGGGTGGATACAGTCCTGGATTCTGAACACTAGCTAAGAGTTCTCAAAGCAAGAACAGCAGGAATGTCATGGCACAGCTGGCAACAGCAGATTGCCACCATGGAAGGCTGTCTCAGGGCTGTCCTGCAGGCCAAAGGTCAAAGTGGAAGCTGTTGTTGAGGGCTAAGCAGCCAGTGTGAACATGGGCTCTGCGTGTTGGAGGAAGGTAGACACTTAGAACAGGACTTCAGGTGAAAAGCCCATACAGACAAAGATGGAGACAACCAGAAACAAGTGGAACCTGGGCATCCATGCCTCACAACCAAGGTCCACCTGCTGGTTGAGACAAGAAAGTGGTTGTGTTGCCTCAACTAGGGAGCACAATTAGAAATGATCCTAAAAGAAAAAGGGTCCCGAAGAAAAATGTTATTAATTATGAGTTCCACATTTCTGGTCATTTTCTCCAACTGAGGAGCATGCGAAACAGCCAAAGGTTGCCCGAGACCCACATTAGTGACCTAGGTATGTGGAGATCCACCATATGGTGTGCGAAACTGCAGAATGGACCTGCACATCACCCTGGAGCATGATGTTCCTCAACATCAGTGGCAAAGCAGGTTCATATTTTTATGGAGTAGAATGCCAAGTTCTTAATAACTTTTAGAACCAGAAGTGTGATTTTTAGTATCACTTTAAATCAAGTGGTGAATCAGGGGTCTTGGGTACTTTGGGGAAAAATTTTGAGGAGCTCTTTCCAAGGAGAAAGGGATCTTTTAAAATACTTTCTTTTCAATGAGCCCATGTTACCATTTTTACTTTGCCATAATACTTGAAACTTTTATGTTCAAGGCTATGAAGGATATTCATGCCAATCTCCACATGAATAAGCCTTTGATTTTTCAAATGTTAAACCTGAAATGCGTCTGCAGGGTGACAAATGCGGTCTTCTGTTCATAGTCATCACTCATCACATTTAGGAAATAATCTTTTGTTAGAGTAATAATATGTTTTTGTTTCTTTTTACTACTTGCAAAGTAACTTCTTAACAAAATGGGTTTCATGATGACTATTTTCAAATAAAGTCACTCAAAAGCCCCTTCTTTAATGATTTCAGCCTGACAGTAAGTTAGAGTGCTTTGATGGCTTTTGATAAGATCCACTAAGCACTGGTTTGGTTTTAGTAAGAATAACCTTGATCTCTTGTTTTAAGGAGATAATAAAATATATGTTGGCAGATTTCAAGGACTATCTTTTACTTTCAGCATTCCACAAGCTTGGCCACTTTAGATTTATTCTTTTATGTATGTTAAAAAATAACACTTAAGAGCCTTAAATTTCTAGGTGCTTCATTCTAGCTGTCTTATTTAAGGATCAGCTTGTCTTTCATTAATATTCTTAAGGTCAAGGATTTATCATTTAAATACAATGTACTTGAATAGAACTAAGTTTTCTATTTAAATAACCTTTATTTCTTCAGCAAAAAGTGCAGATTTCTAATTGTGTATCATTCATTATTTCTTAACATTGTTTCTTTTATGAAATATAATTACTGCTGACACTTATTTTACAGAGACTTACTCATTAGGTGTGCTGTTGCTGCGGTTAGCACTGTTGTTTTAGAAGCAAATTATTCACCTGTGTGTTACCTAGTGACATCAGTCGACACTCCACAAGTGCAGACTCTGAAGCATAAAGACGCAATGTGGTCCAGAAGCTTTCAACATCTCTACAGATGTAGCATATTTAGAATAAAAAGAACTTAAGGCACCATAAAGCAATGTAGGAGTGGCTCGATAAGCTGTTTTTTTTGGAAGATAAAATGCTTCATGTGCCTTAACATCCAAACATTTGACACAGAACTGGATGCATAGCCAATATAGAATTACTGAGTTTTCCGTACCACTTAATAATCATTTAATAATTTCACTTTTTATATATAATGAAACTTGATTTTTTATTTTTATTAGAGTATGTTCATAGTGTAAAATAATAGGTTTCATGATGACTATTTTCAAAGATGTATTTATTTTATGTGCATGAATGTTTTGCCTGTGTGTATATATGTGCACCATGTGTGTGAACAGAGGCTAGAAGAAGGCACCAGATCCCCTGGCACTGGAGTTCAGTCAGTTGTGAGTCACCATGTGGGTGTGGAGAACAGAACCCAGGTCTTCTTCAAGAGCAGCAAGTGCTCTCAACTGCCGAATCATTGCTCCAGCTCTCACAATGTTTTTCATGTGTGTGTATAATATACTCTGATCATATCTGTGCCCCACAGTATCCCCTATTCCTCCCTTTCCCTTTCACTTCCCAAATATATATCAAGACTTCAAGCTATACTGTTTTAAGGGACTATAGCAATGAAAATTTTTGTTGCATGCTCATAAGATACTTCTTGAGTCTGTCAGTTAAACCTTTTTCTGGGATCTTGCAGTGAATTTTCATAGATGAGATTGAACTTCTGTTATTTAAAAGCATATGCACGCTATACATTTGTTAAAAAGAATCAATCATTTGTATATTAATTGTTTTGCGCCATGGTGTGTATTAACTGATGCTTATACATTCAGTTTTCACCAAACAGGTGAAGCGCCCAAGGAAGTGAGGGGTCATCACTTTCCTAACTCCTAAAATATTTGCTACTGTTAGCTGCTCTTTCCTTATAACTCTCTTGGTTTTTGTGCTTAAACATCTCTGTTTTCTTCTTATGCTTTCCTGGACTTTTCTCTTCTACTCCTGGACTTTCACAATTCCTTATAGCTACAGTCTC